CCTCGTAGCAATCTTCAGTAAGCCCCTTCTTAATGCTCCCAAGCGCTTGCAGAGCATGCTACTGGCTCTCCAGAACTACAACCTGCGAGTTATCTACAAGCCAGGACCGGAAATGTTCGTGAGTGACACACTGAACAGGGCTGTTGCGCCCAATGCACACCCCAGCTCTATGCATGTGGAGCACACAGTCTGTAGTATGGTGGATGAGCAGCGGGCAATTGAGCACATAAATATGGCTGACTATCTCAACATCACTGACAAAAGATTGTTGCAGATACAGCAACACACAGACAGTGACACACAGCTGCAAGCCGTGAAGGCTATCATCCTGAATGGCTGGCCAGTCAACGAAAATGGTCGAAAAAGGACGAAACTGAGCAGGCAGTAAGAGAGTACTGGCCTATCAAAGAGGAGTTAAGTGTTCAAAATGGGGTGTTGTTTAGAGGACAGAGAGTTGTGATCCCCAAGTCACTAAGAGCTGAAATGCTCGCCAGAGTACACTGCAGTCACATCGGAGGCAACACCAGCTACAGACAGGCACGGGAGACCATATACTGGCCTGGAATGCAGAGGGAAATTAAGGACTTTGTCAGTAAGTGCACAACATGCAGCGAGTACGCTGTAGAACATGAGAAAGAGACAATGATGAGACATGAACTGCCCACACGACCCTGGCAAATAGTGAGCCTAGATCTGTTTTAACACAGTGGGAAAGACTTTCTGATGTTGGTGGATCATTACTCAGATTACTGTGAGATTGATGGTCTGCCAGACCTCAGTGCAGAGACTACAATAAAACGGTGCAAGGCTCATTTTGCTCAATACAGGCAACCTGACAGGGTCATCACTGACAACGGGCCCCAGTTTGCCTGTAGTCACTTCTGCTAGTTTTCTGTGGAATGGGAGTTTGAACATGTCACCTCCTCACCAAGGCATCCCAAGGCCAATGGAAAGGCAGAGGCAGCTGTTAAAATTGCAAAGAATCTATGCAAGAAAGCACTTCGGGAAGGCAAGGATGCCTGGAAAGCAATATTACAGTGGCGAAACACCCCTACAGAGGGAATGGACAGCAGTCCTGCCCAGCGTCCGATGGCACGGCGTCTGAAGTCAGCTCTGCCAGTGGCTCCTGCACTTCTTGAGCCACAGGTCATTACAGATGTAGTTGACAAATTGCGCCACAGGAAACAGGTGTCTAAACTCATCTATGACAGGACTGCAAAGGACTTACCCGAACTTGCAGTGGGTGAAGCAGTTCGAATGAAACCACTGCCTGGGAACAGGACAGGCATCTGGCAGTGGGGAGTGTGTCTGTGCAAAGTAGCTCCACGGTCCTATCTGGTGGAGGTCGAGGGCTCTCTCTATCGTCGCAACCATGTCAACCTACGTATGACAGAGCCGATACCATCACAAAACCCTATGACAGGTTCAGAGGGTCCACATGCCCCTGGCTCTCCACAGACCTCAGAAACAGCAGCTGTCCCATCATCATCTCATTCCCCTGCTCTCTCGCGTTACGCCGTCAGATACAGCCTCTCAGCAGACTAAACCAGTAAGTTCACATGGACAGTAACAAAATTTGGGGGGGGGGAGTACTAAAAGAAAAGTGGGGGAGATAAGTGGAGCTGTTTTATTGTCTTGCAGATAGAGGTTATGTTACAGTGGCAATGTATAGCTATCTGTCTGGTTAAGCTCTTAAGTGTTATAAAAGAGTTTTGAGTTTTGGGTTACTTATAGAAAAGGGAGATGTTATAGGTGGTATTATAGTACCACCTGTTGGATGTTTAGTGGCACTGCATCTTACGAAATGTCACGTAGTCTCCCAGCATGCCTTGCAGTCTCGCCTTTGTTATTGTGCTGTGATCTGAGTGACGCAGTAAAGTTTGATATCAACAAAGCTATATCTGTGCAGTTTCATCATTGTTACACCACGAACCCAAACAGGTAATTGTGAAAATGCTTTTACATTGTTCAATGACAATATTCCAGTTTTACATAGAAGTTTGCAAAGCAACAGATACTTAACAAATGAGACATCACTGAGTTAAACCTAACTATTGTAGCCTATTATATCACAACATCAACAACAACAACAACAACAGACGCGCGCGGGAACACAGATGTAGTTTACCTATCAGGTAAAAGGTTATGCCCTGCCCCTTTATCCTAAATCCTGTATTCTTTAGATTCTGGACTATTTGAAGTGAAGAAATATGATGCGTTATATTATTTTTTGTGCCACTGATTTGCTGTGGACAGTTGTGTTCAGTAGCTCCTCTCAGACTTATGGTCAGGTGAAGGCAGGCAGTCACTCAGGATACTTAGACATGAAATCACACATGTTTATCTTTCTACTGTATGTTTCACACTTGACCTACAGAGGACCACACTGCCTCACCTCTGACACTGTCCTCCCTGCAGGTCTAGCAGCTGTGATAGAGACTCAGCAGACTGTGATGGCAGCAGTGGGAGAAGAGGCTCTTTTAAACTGTCAGCTGATGCAACCTAAAGATGTTCTTCAAGTCACATGGCAGAAAATTTTACCTGAAAAGGAGAAGAATATCGCTACTTACACCGAATACTTTGGTGAGAAAGTGAATCCTGACTTTAGAGATAAAGTGGAGTTTAAATATGCTGGACTGCAGAACAGCTCCATAGTTATCAAGAGGGTGATGGAGGAAGATGAAGGATGCTATCACTGTTTGTTTAACACCTACCCTGACGGAGCTCTCACTGGTTCAACCTGCCTCCAACTCTATGGTAACAACCTTACAGTGTTCTTAAAGACATCTCCATCATCCTTAAAGTGTGTCCTGTAAAAACTTGATGTGATATCATGTTACCTTGCTTCCTGAGGTCACACTGTCGTCTACTGATGGTGAGAAACACTTAAGAAGATACTGACTGATAGACTGATAAATACTTTATGGTTCTGATGTTTGAGTTTCTTTTTCCAGGTGTTGATGAGGAATCTGGGTCTGTTAACAGTGATCTCAGTAAGTGAACCTTTATGTGGTCTCATGTCAGTCTCACCATTTGATCTGTAGTTGCTTTATGAATGTTGAGTGTTACTAATTTTCCTCTCTTCTCACAGATGTCACTTTGATCACTGTGTTGGTCGTGGTGTCCTGTGTTTG